TCCAATACCAATGTTATAAAATTTTATTGCGTCTACTTAAGTGAGATATTGTATTATTTTCCAAAAATCTTGTCATTTACATTAAAGATTACAATACTTCACAATTCTAAAATCCCTAATACCAAAAGTCTTGTTTTGTAAATAAAAAACCGTAATTTCACTTGAAAACCGGTAATCTTAATAAAATACCAGTTGTACCGGACTTTGACCCCTCTAGGCATTGACACGAGGACGAGGACACGACTATTATCGCATCGCAATAAACATAATTCAAACTTATTATATCTATTAATCTTTTAAATTCATGTAATATATTCATAAATAATTATTATAGAAGGTCCAAGGGACTAAGATGACCCCTTGATAAAGTACGACGCGACGCAAACCCTTTGGATGAAATCGTCATATTTTTATTAGGGAAGTATTCCTTTCGACATGAATTACTACTGTTTGATTACTCGCCTTTATAGATATGGTGTTTACAATTTACGTAGTAATCCTAAAGAATTTACGATCTATATTTTAATCTTTTACTTTGTACTGCTGAAATAAAAGCCACAATTCCTTGGCAAAGGTCAAGTTTAGACTACTTCAAAAAAAAATCAACGTAACTAGTCAGCTCATTGCAGAAAGCAACCTTCACGCTAATTGCAATCTGTGCAATAGCTATTAATGGATTTTCTAATTTCATCTCTCTAATATAATTTGTACTTGAAACTCTACAATGATACACATAATTAGACGAGCAATTACTGTCTCGCCTCTCGTATATAAGATAACTTTGAATGATAAACGTTACTAATGAGCGAAGGTCGTCTACATGTAAAGTAAACAACAAGACACTTCATTTTTAGTCCCAAAAAATATAAAATAAAAAATAAAAATACAATTAAAGAATCCGCAAATAAATAAGAGAGCTTACCTTCAAAAATTCGCACCCGAATATAAACAAAGATGGGAAAAGAAAACACGTCCACACGATCCGGCTGCCGGCACGCAACTAAAGATTTGTAGGGTTTTGTGAAACTATAGATACAGGTCATAGCGACCTCTAAACAGGCTTATCAGCTAGGTTCAATGGCAATAAACGGCTGGTGATATCTCTTACGTAATTAGGATACTGAAAACGTGATCGTCTGGAGTAGGGACTCTGTCTGGATTAATGGACTTTGGATTACCCATCTGTCAGCGTCAGATTTCAGTGGAACTAGTAGCTCTAAATAATATTTGTTAAATTTTTGGGATAAAACATTGTAATACATCATTAGAGTGTGTGATTGTTTTATAATGAGTTTAATAAAATAGAGCAAGTAGATGAAATAGCCAGACGGGAATCTTTTCTACTGGGTTGGCCTAAATTACAAATTGCTTAAAATAGGCATGCCAATTAACTTAGATTTTATTATTAACAACAACGAAACGATAACAGATCTCTTTCTTTATAAAAAGTAAGGAAATAATATAAGGTTTGAAACTTTGAATGGACATAAATGATGTTCAACGAAAAGTCTAATAAAATGACAACAGCAAGAAACAATACGTTACAAGTTATAGGTCCTTTAATATCCATTCAGAAAATGATGGAGGACCATTAAAAGAATATAATGAGGAGACAGTGCCAGGGGAATGTTGGACAGAAATAGCATAACGTACACGTAGTGGACACATGGGACTGCACGAATATATTTTTGTGCAGACATGTGTAGACGTTGGCACTGGAGCTTTCCTTAATAGTTGTTGTTGCAAGCATCTATTTGTTTTGTTATTTGTTATTAGGTCTCTGTTCGATGAGTGACATGTTGATGAAAACAGAGGAAAAGTTCGTAAAATTTGGACGAAAATAGTCTTCGGAAGATAGGTTAGCTGAAATGCAGTTTTGACGTTTGAAAAGTATCTGAATGTAGATAAATCTAAATAAATGCTTTATCTTTGACTGTGCATGATAAAGAGCCGAGTAGTTCATTGTGGAATTACATTTACATGTGTTCATTCCAGTACAGTGTAGTACGAATTACAAAGATCGACAATATTGTGCTAAGAACCGAGTAAAATTATAGATGTCTATAAGTGTTTTTTCTGAAAATGTATGGAAAAAATCACCTGACACAATATTTAAGAAGATAACTATGAAGAAAAAGACTATTAGATAATTGACGAAGATACTGAATGAATTTCGTAATCATAGAATTTGCAGAGTTGACTTTCAATGAATAGTTGGCATTATGCCCAAAATAGATCACGAGAAAGGCAGATATCACGCGCTTATTGTTAGAATGATCAAATTATGGCATGCATTTAACTCCATTGCACGTGCTGTGGACCCAAGGTTGACAACATTGTAAACAAATTATGTTAAACAATTGCAGTACTTGCCATTTTCAGTGCAAAGTTTAGTTTCTCGAATAAAGATTACGATGAAAATGAATTTTCATTGTTTTGAAACATGCACTGCTATTCAGCTGTGCGGCTGATATGGAATCTAGTAAAGATTATTATTGCAGATATAACTGAGATAACGGTATTGTGGACTCCAATACAAGAAAAAACGGTAGGTTCACAAATATAGGTAGGTATTCATTATTTTCTAACACGGTTATTATTTTTAAGGGAGTGTCCTTACACTTCCCTAAAATAGGATTTAATAATAGGTAATTCTTTTTGAATTTGGTGATTCTAATTTTATTCAACCGTATGTTTGAATGACGCTATTAGAGACGGCGACACACCGGCTTGAAAAATCTCGGGTAATTTTTATTTTATTACATGTATGTAGGTATGTGTTTTTTTATATTACAACTTTCGTGGAATATACATAACGCGTGTATGCGTTTGACAGCCTACACAAAATTACCTTATCCAATTTATTAGACGATCATTAGGAATACCAATTCGGTCTTGTATAGGTGTAATGTGACGCAACGTATGCAAATGTCCACAGTTACTGCAAAGATGATTGAATAGTTTATACACACGATTAATTGTAATTAATTATTATGTATGCGACTTCGCAGTTTCCTTTTAACCTGTTACAATAGCTGTTATGGAGGAAATAATAATTATCCTTCAATTATGTTTTATTACTATTAAGGCAACACGGTTCAAGTGAAGTTGGACAGGACATCTAGCGACGGCAGATGGCCAAAAATTAACTAAGGTCGTTCAAATATCGTCAGAATAATAGGTAACAGATGGTTGAGAGACGCATAAAACTGAGAAGTTTTACAAAAAAGTAAAAAGGGGAGGGCTTTGACCATCAATGGGTGGTCCTCGGATGAAATGATTAGATATAAATAGATACCATAGACATTGTTTTCTTGATCACTTATAAACACAATTTAGATAGCCTTGTCAAGCTGTTAATTCAGCCAATTTTCCTGAATGTCCAGGCAAAAGAACAATTTCGCATACCCAATATTGAGAATCTGGTTAGCTTAATACTCTGTTCGACTTCTAGGTCAAGGTTAGATAAAAATGACTACCTACCTATAACAGAGTTTCAGTCCAGGTGATGCTGCAGTTGAAGTAATACAATACAACTTGTCTGTTAAGAAGAGGTATAGTGGTGCACAAAATAGTCACACTGCACTAGCGCTAATACCTAACAAGGAATAGACATATGCTGGTACATTAGTCACGTGATGCGCGTACGCATTCTTGGGAAAAACCTCGTTTTATGATATAAACAAAACCAGCAGCTGTTTAAATTGAACAATACCCAATTAATACAAATGATAATACTTTTACAACTGTTTGTTCATAATAGTGTTTATACTTAGGTAAGTAGGTAACTACAAGGTACCTCAAATATCTATTCGATACAATAATATACGTTTATATATTATGACGCTAACTAAAGGAAAAAGTCAATGTGAAACTTACAAACCTTGATCTGGTTACAATGAATGAAATGAACATATATACGTAAATACCTGCCTACCTATAACTTGTACACATAAATCAACCTTTGCTCATATTTTTTAACCATACAAGTAGCACAGTTAAACCAATGCACTTCAATTTTAAACTTTATCTCGTCTTGATAAAGACGTAATTTGGTCGAGTTTGAATAGAGAAGGTTACATTCTTCAAGGATGCATGCATGGGTCAGAAAATTTTAAAGGCATAAGATGGTAAATAAATAATCTATGTACAAGATGTGTAAGTATATATTTTTTTCGTTTCATTTTATTAAATTAGGTTATTACTATGGAATTCTTATTAAAAAAAATTCAGAAATAAACTTTTAAACAAGTTATTTAAAAAAAAATGTCGTAAAATGGAAGTGTCGACAATATTATAGAAGCGATTTGAAAAAACCGATATAAAAATAATATTTAAAAAACAATGCTATTGACCGGTAATTAATTAAATTAAAAAAAAATGTTTCATTAAAAACATTTATGTTTCAGTTGCAAGATTAATCAACATAAACAATCAAAAACTATAATTGATTAATTAGTTTTACTTCATTAAAATGCGCAGACGGTATTAAATTACACAGTTTATTTTAATAAATACTTGTTATGAACTGCAAGATAAAACAATAAAAATAAAACATAGCTTTCCACTTACCGGTTATGTAGATTTATGGTAGACGTAATGAATTTAGTTTCGTGTTTTATTTTTAAAATTATGCACGCGTGAGTTTTAAAAATGATTACACAAGTTGAACTTGACGAGGTGACAGTTAAACTGAATGAAAATGAATGATTTACTAGTGATGTGCTCCGATTCGTTTAAGAAATGAATGAAGTGCCAATACGGCTTTCATTGTAGTTTAATTGATAAATGTTAATTGATTTTAGAATAGTAGAGCTACGAATAACATTAACGATTAAGGTTTAAAAATATGTCAATTGAGAAGTGAAATATAATTTATAGCTGGTTATAACAGGTTATAATATTACCGTTATTTCTTTCATGTTGTCACAATGACAACACTACTCTGCCTCAGTTTATAATTTATTTATTTAGTCTGTGCTGTCTGTGCTGATGGAAAATCAACATTATCAAAACTTTGTTTATTTTGTGTTAAAAAGATAACAATAAAACCTAATTATTATTCAATCATATCTATTTTAGTTTAAATATTGTAGTTTCTTATACACTGACAACAATATAATAATTTATTATAAGCAAAAGTGTTGTTTTGCTGCAATGGCCTCTGACTCTGAACAAAATATTATTACAAACGTCCATGATACAAAAACAAAGAACTTAGATGCTTGTTGTCGCACTTGTTTGAGAGATGTTCAAGGCGATGATAATATGTATGATGTATTTCAAGAAGGACCACATCAATTTGATATACCTAGAATAATATTTTTGTGTACTACAATAGAGGTAAGTGAGATCAAGTTTTAGGAACATTAACGCCGCGATGTCGCTGTTGTTGTATGGTGTTTTTTAAACAAAGATTTGTTTTTAGATCAGTCAAAGAGACCCCCTGCCAAAGAAAATATGTTATAGTTGCTACAGCTTCCTATTAAACTATCATGAATTTAGAGACACAGCTATATTTGCTGAACAGCAACTGCAAGAACATATAATCAAAACTGTTCTTATAAAATCGGAAGAAAACCATGTTGGAATAGAAGTCAAAGGGGAACATAGTCGACAACAAAGTGACAGTTTTAATTCAAGTTTGAATGATAATAATTTAGATTCTGAAATGACAGTGAAAGAGGAACCACATCCATACTCAAATTTTTCAGCTTTAAGTTCAGATTTACCATACGTTAGCCTACCTGAAGAACAGCAATCCAACTACATGGTGTCATGTGATGTTTGTGAAAAAGACTTCACTTCACTTCAGAAATTACAAAAACATAAAAAGCGACATGATAAAAGATACTCTTGTATTGTTTGTTCTGAATCATTTAATTACAATTTTAAGTATATGGAACACATGCTGACACATAGGCCTACTGTAGATAAACCATCTGATGCTGAAACAAGTTCTGAAATGAATGCTGAAACAAGTACTGAAATAAACCACAACAGTGTACAAACACAGACGCTCAAATGTGACATTTGTTCAGAAACATTCAGATCCGTTAACTCTCTATCGGCACATAAAAGAAAACACACTCCGAAAGACAGAGTGCTCTGTTGTTCAATATGTGGCCTCGTTTTCAAAAAGCTGTCTCATTTAAAACGGCATGAACAGAGTCACAGTAACAACAAGCCATATAAATGTACTACGTGTCAGAAGTCTTATGGAACCGAATCTGCGTTTTCTGATCATATGAATAAGCATAAAGGAATAATGCCTCACTGCTGTCCAGTATGTATGAAGTCCTTCACTCATCTCTCAAGTTTAAAAACCCATATAAGAGTTCATACTAAAAGAAGGCCTTATTTATGCCCTACTTGTGGGAAGACATTTGACTCGAGTACTAATTTGAACCAGCACCTGAATAGACATAAGGGTTTGAAATCATTTGCTTGTAACTTGTGTCCTAGGAAGTTTGTCAGTAAAGGTAAGTTTAGTTATAATTTGATTCCTGGATTTGGTATTGTTGCTGTTTTCAATGTTTTAAATTCTTAGCAGCAGCATAGATACTATGTACATAGAATACTGCCGGTGTATGCCGATAGCCTGTCAGAAATTATAATTAATTTGTGTGTCTTCTCATTTTAAATAGGTTTGACGGTATAAACTATGAAGTGTGTGTTAAATAATAGTATTGTAAAGTTATTAAATAATTTTATAAAAATAATTTTTGTGTATTTGTCAACTATAGTGATCTTCTCCGTGTGAGAAGATGTCTTTGATGAGTAGTGAGCACTCATAGGCTGTTGTTGTGAAGATGATGTTGTAATAGTTATAAAAAAATCACCCTGGAATTTAACCATTTCAGGCGAGTTAAAATCCCATGTGGTAACCCACACCGGTGTGAAGTCCTATAAGTGTGACGAATGCAACTCATCATTTACTAAGAACAGCTCTTTAACCACACACAAGCTCCGTCACTTGGGCATCAAGCGCTACCAATGTGATGCTTGTCCTATGAAGTAAGTATTTAAAATATTATCTATTGCTAGAAACCTGTAATTAGTTCTGTTTATAAAAAGTATCTTGTCAAAATTGTATAGCTGTTCGTTTTCCGGGAGGTCAAATATTTTGCTCCTTTTTTGTTATCTTCGGCTGTTCGAGCCTTAATCAGATGTGTTTCTATAGTAATTATCATTAAACATACTGAATTACCTAAAAATAAAAAGAAGTCTCTCTGTAACCAGAAACTATTAGAGCTTTTCTCAGTATATTTGTGTGAGTAGTTCATAATATTTAGTTAATTCATAATCAGATGATTTGTAGAAATTAATACGATTTTAATTTCGAATAAATAAATTATTAATATGAGTACTGCATAGGTACCAAAATAGTTTTGATTTTGGGGTATTCCGTATTCCACATCATTTTTGAGACAGTTTTCTGAGAATTGTTAATTTTTAAATGTGTAATTCTATTTGTATTTAATGTAATGATTATTTGTTATTTCACAATTCTAAGCAAGATAACGAAATAGTAGTTTTTAGTTAATCTTTTAATTATAATTGTTAATTGCCAATTCCATTAAAGTGAAATCTGATAATTAATAAGAAAACTAGTGTCTTACGGGTAATGCCATCTCGTGACAGAAAGTGGAACTACTTATTAGCTAATGAGCCGAGTTGCCGTTAGATGGCGTTGTTTCATACATTTGTCTTTTTCATTTTATGACTTTATAAGAATATTATTTTTTGTAATACAGGTTTACATGCAAAGATCATTTGAAGAGACACAATAGAATACATACAGGAGAGAGGCCCTACAAATGTGACTTATGCGATCGTTCGTTTACTCAGAGCAATGACTTGGTCAAACATAAGCGTTCACACCTCGGCAATAATTTGTACAAGTAAGTTCAACATTTTTCTTTATTTTTAACATGTGTCGAGTATTGTATGTACATATATTAATGTTAATCTTATCGTGGTAACGCTTTATTGAAGAATTCTTACGAAGGATTTTAAATTTTTAATGCTGTAATTGATCATTTTATTATATAGAATAGATATTTTATTATTGTAAGGATAGATATGGATATGACTGTCAAGCAAGGGGACTCAGATTAGATTCCTGAATAGGACAAACGAATTATCATTTGGTGAATTAACCTTTTACAATATAATCATCAACTCTTCTGCCAGGCTTAGAAATTATAGTTACAGAGTATTGATGGCGATGATGACGTAGCGGCAATTTGTCAGCCAGTTGCTGCAAGATTCAGTCCAATGTCTCTTGATCAACATTGTTTTGGAAGATCCATAATAACCTGTACCTTATATTTCTTTACAGATGCGTAGAATGCACACAAAGCTTCAGACTTCTATCAGAACTTCGACAACACACATCAGAGCACTTCCTATCTGCACGACTTGAAGCACTGAAGTTTACTAACACAGACAATAACAGTCAGCCAGTTGGCAATAGTCAGCCAGTCGTCGTGAGTCAGGCAATCGTCATAAGTCAGCCAGTCGACGTAAGTCGGCCAGTTGACGTAAGTCAGCCAGTTGAAATAAGTCAGCCAGTTGGCAATAACGATTCCATAACCGTACTACCTCAAAAGCAAGGTCATGATGGTGGTGACAAGAGTGAACTATGAATAGGGAACCATAATTTTTTTCAATGTCCATCTTCGGCCAATTTCAGATCTGTAGATTTGTTATAATTGATGAGAGCCCCTCCAAGAGCCCCTCTTTGCTCTACCCACCCACTGTTACCCACTACTGAACTTTAATTTGTTTTATTAATGCATTCAGTTCTTGTCATTTGACAAAATATATATCTTAGTCCCCATTCGCTCTGGAATTATTTTAACGCGCATTGAAAAGCGTTTAAATAGAATAAATGCCTCGACTAGTGTATGTACGTCCAGCGCTTTTAAAACGCGATGCTTTTTAATAAGCATTGTTGCATTTTCAACGCTGGGTTTTGGCCGTTAAAGACTAAATTGCATTGCATTTGTCGCCGGAAAATAACAAGGACCGTAAGTTTACAAATTTCCTGCGAAAATTATAAACTTCCTTAGAATTCTAAACAAGAGATAAATTGTATTATCATCGACTAATCAGAGAGCAACTATCAACATCAACCAATTAGAGAGCAGTATTATTTGCCGTATCTTTCTGAAGATCTATCTCATTGGCCGAGTGGTCGCAAGTGCGACTGCCGGGCAAGGGGTCTCGGGTTCGATACCCGGGTCGGACAAAGTATTACAGGGGTTTTAAGAAAACTCCGTAGTTAGTAGCACGGAGTTTGGAATTGTGCCTGGTCCCGGTATATGGCAATAGACTCACCCCCTATTACATGGGATTCATAACATAAATAGTGAAAAGAAGGTGTTATATTGTACAGTGATATTAAGTGCCGTAATGCCTGCCTCTTCGGGGATAAAAGGCGTGATGGTATATTTTCCTAAGAAGCTTAAAACTAAAATCTGTTCTGTTATTAGTCAAACCGTTTAGAATATGACGAGTGGATATCGTAATATAATTTTCCTAGGACATAATAACACTTACGGTTCTTGCTATTTTCCAGCGACACATACATATCAACGCCGAATTTTAACACGGCTTTAAAAAGGTTTCGTGCAAATATACTCTTTTTCTTTGGCCTGATGGACTAAATTGATGGTTCCTTTTCATATACCTATTATGAGACTTTGAAGTGAGCCTAAATAGGAAAGATGACATTTTTTACTAGTTAACCCCTTACCGCATACAACGCCATATATGGTTTCTGGTTTTGTTTATTTTTTTCAACATATAATTTTTTTTATTTTTTATAATCCAACTAAGAAAAAATATTACAGAATTCTTCGTGTAACGGAACGCATTTTTTGTTGTCTATGGTAAGGTCTATCTGTCAAGTTATTAGAGGTTATGTTCAGCAACTCCGACCGGTGAAGTGAATTTATTTAGTGCTGATTTAATAATTGGAAAAAAAGCAATAATTTGGTAAGTAAAAAATGCTGGATTTTTAAAATGAATTCATTGTACATTCATAAACATAATATAACTCGGATTTCAGTGTTTTTGTGCATGTAGTTTTAGCAATTTTTGAATTGCCATATTTGGCTTAGTATGCGTTCAAGACATATTCACTGTCTGTCATATATGGCTTTATATGCATTCAAAGCTTGCTTTCTTTTCTTTGCAGCAATGAATCCCTCACGCTTTTATGGTACATCGAAGCAGCAGGCACGAAAAGCTCCAGCTAGACACCAAGAGTTACCTTTGAATTCTGTTCGAACAGATAACGTGGCCCATTACCCAGAATGGATAAAGTCAACACGACAAATATGTCAAAATTGTTTAAAATATCGTTCTTTCACAAAATGTGGAGAATGTAATGTTTTTTTATGTTTTAATGACAAACGCAACTGTTTTCTGGAATTTCATAAAGTTTAATTGTTAATGCATACGAAGCCATATATGGCATCATATCGTTTTACTATAATGCATACGAAGCCATATATGGCTTCGTTGGCTATTTTCTTAATTATTATTACTAATTTTTTTTTCTCATGTCAAGTTATTAGATTAGGTATAATAAAAGCCATATCCAGTAAAAAAATTTTTTTTTTCTGCCTCCTTCATAATTCATGCAATAAGGGGTTAAGTAATAAAATTATAAAAATGAACAAAAAAAAATTTACTGGTCTTATTTGATTATAGTTTTATTGGTATATTGTTTCGTAATCGTTTTGAGGTATATTATTTCGGGTGAGGGATTTTTAAATTTAAAACTATACTTTTTAATTGTAATTAAATATGGAACTCAAAACTATTATTTAGAGTATACGTGATAGGGATGGAGAATTAAAGACAGTACTAAAATTATGATAGGATTTAGGAAATAACGTCAAATTAAATAAGGATCAAAATTGCTTGCACATCATAGTACCCTGATCTTATAATGATTCCCCATTCCACGGTAACTAACTAAAGAACGTACTCCCGAATACTAATGGCTACGCCTTGAAGACACCCAGGTTATATCCTTCAGGAAATACAAACTAGTAAATAATTCCACTTCCATAGCAGTATGCATACGGAAGCTTGATGCGAAGCGCTTCGTGCGTGTGGGTCGGTGACGCTTCGCCGATTGTCTAGTGGTACTCCATTTTAAGTCGCGTTTAAGTATAGTCCTATCACTACAAATTCTTTGTAGAATTGGTGTTAAAAAAAACGACAAGTCTCCATTAAGATCGTTTTTGTCAAATAAAGGCCGGCAACGTTCTTGTCGACATCTTTGCCTGCTTATTTGCCGGCCTATCCATAAAAATGTATTTGATGTGCAAGCAAATAATAATATGTTAAAAATACACATGTCATAAATAATAAGTTAAAAATATACGATGTAAGCACACAACATCACTTGAAAGTTATATGGAACTGAGTAATTTTAATTCGATTTATCTAAGTATGACTTATTGAAAATTAAAAAAAAGTATAAGTCTTATATTTGTTCTTAATTATTTGACGCATTGAATAAGCGTTTGTGTTTGGCTGTCATCTTTCCTTATTGGCTCATAATTGACTGATATTTATTTTAATATTACCTATCATAATGATAAGTTAGCGTAGGTTCTCATATTATTCATCCATTAAAATTAGTATGCTTGGGTAGATCAGTGCCGATAATTTTCGAAACCAAATCTTATACTACTACATAAGACCTCTCGCGTCCGGGCCTAGTGCAGGCTATTATGCGGAGCGAGGGGGACTGGGATGTCGTCTCCTCCTTTTGCGAAGCAGTCATGCTAGCTAAGGAGGAGGCGGGACGCGTGAGGCAGCGAAGCGCTGCCTTCTCGCAACCCAGCCATCGCGAAGGACACACCGGGCGTCGGGGATCGCGGGACGATCTCCAGCCACCATAAGCGCGGGCCTGCAGACGGCGAGCATGGGTGGCTCCCCGTCCGACCAGAAACAGAGCCATCAGACCACCACAGATGGGGCCCAATAGGGCCGATGCCGGTTCGGAGTCGCGGAGAACCTAACGGGTAACCGAGGCTCCGGCTCGACGTGCAGGAGAAGGAACGGGGTGGTTTTTAGTCAGTAAGAGTCTGACACTCCCTCCCGCCTCACCCAGGCGGGAGCAGTCATTCGATGATTTTCCCCCCTTAAAAAAAAAA